AAAAAAAAAACAAGTTTGTAACGTCAAATGAATAGTTTTTTTCGTCGACCAACATACTTATATTCTCGTTTTTATCAATATTAAAGCCCTGGATTAAAAAGTGTTGGGATTGGAATTAACGATGTTATGCACTAACGCAAGCTTATAATCATGAGATTTTCAAAGTTTTATAATTTGTCAAAATAGCTAAAAAAATTTTTTAAAAACAGTGTTTCGGATGATCTGAAAAAGTCGTCTGACGTAAGTCTACAAAAAATTTATGAAGACTCATGCAACAATTACTAAAATCATTAATTTAAATATTGTCAAAGCCCAAAAAAATATAACACTGTAATATTTAAGAGCAACGTCAGAATGACTTGATAAAATTTCATTAAATCTTAATCAACCATTATTTTTTTTTTTCAACGAATTGCGATAAGCAGCTGATTTAAATCTACGGATTTACATGTGCTCTAGAATAATGTCAGTTTTTTAACAGAATATTTTTAAAACTCTTTGAAAATAATGCAGCCAGCTTCATGGAATTAATGATAAAAAAAAATAGAACTACAGTTATTTACTCGTAAAACATTTGAAACGTTCAGTTTAAAACGTGATAGAAATAAATTAACGAAAATTTTGTTGATTATTCAATATTTTTTAATTTAATACATAAAATTTATTGTTATAGCTTATTATTACATTTTTTTAATACCAGAAAAATAAGTAATGAGCGTTTCCCTCAATATTTATCAAATATTCAGCATCAGGATACGCATCTTATATTTGTAAATTTCTCGTTCCCGGTCAAAAGATAATTCTGAGCACGAATAGCAAATCTCGACCAAATCAATAAAGCAAACATTGGCCTTTAAACTAGTAAAAAGGTTGTTCTAAAAGAAGCCTTCGCAATCCTTAGAAGTAGGAAAAATCGACACTTTCCTCCACATATACACATGCCCAAGATCTTAGACTCGATTTGTTTAAGGCTTATGTTCTGTATATTCGTATTTATACGTGTACATTATAGAATACACACAAAGTACACGTAAAAATCTATAAAAAATTATTCCTGGACCAAAACTGTAAATAAAGATTTTTGCCCTACTTATCTTAACCTTGGAAAAAGAAACGGTGAGAAAAGTACGCACTACGGTAAGTTTTTTTTTTTTTTTTTTTTTAATATAGCTCAACTCAGAATAAAGCTATATTATTAACTCAAAACTTATTCATTAATGAACCAGCTTAAGTTTAAGTTTTGAAATTTGGATTAAATCAAATATTTTGGGTGATTTATCAACTTATTTTGTAAGTTGGACAATACATAAAAGTTTCAGTCAATGAAATTACCAAAGTATAAATCGATTGACTCGGTTAACATTTTTTTTGTTTTTACCAGAGCTCCTATTAAATATAATTTCAACAGCTACCTAATGTTCAAAAAACTTTAATTTTTTTAATTGTAGTAAAAATCTCATCCAAAAAAACAGGAAATTTTTTGTGATAAAAATACGGTAACACAAAATTGGTACACTATTAACATGCAAATGAACGCGCCACTAGTGATTTTTAGTTACTAAATGACTTTGAAAAACGATGGTTATCCTCACACGTGTAATATCTGGGGTCACACGTCAGAAAATTTACAATCCAATTTTATCAAAACGACATGAATATTTAACAACACAACTGGTCATTTTAACGCCGTAGACTTTTTTCAAAGAGTTGGACATGTACATGTTCGAGAGGAGAAAAAAAAAAAAAAGAAGGAAGAGGGGAGAAAGGCGAAAGAATATCCTTTCCCCTCTACATCATCGTATAGAGTTGTTCAACTTGACCGTGCACTTATCCAACGAAAGTGCTGGCTATATAAATGTGCACTGCACAAAACGAACTCGTTGCACCAACACATTGCAAAAACGTGTCCTGCAGTATAGTGCGGTGTGTATATAACATATATAATGTACTAAAAAAGCGGAAAAATGTAGGCACTGTGAATTAATTTTTGTGGGATTGAGTATAAATAAGGTGTCAAAAATGTGAGCCTATGCAAAAAAGGAATAATTTGTTTAATTAATATTTTTAAATTTTACTCTCTCGCTGGACAGATAATTTAAGGTACAAAAGGATTCGAGGAATTCATACATGCGCACCGGTGCAGTTATCAGAGAATCTTTTTTAGGAAAAACAATCTTATAACCTTGAATGAATTGGTCAACAGCTCGAATTTAGGACACGCGAATTCCGCGATTCCATCATGCAGCGGCGGAGAGCCGTACTCGCGATTATGCACACACATGAGAATTTTATTCGGTTTCGCATCGGAAATCTCCAGTCTCGTGTATGCTCGCATATGTGGGTCATTGCACAAAAACTGAGATATTCCGCATCCAACTGTGTATTTCTTTTTTGTTTTTGTTTTAAACAAGCTATGATTTATTATTAATGTAGTGGGTAACCCTTTTTTCATGGAGATTATTGCAATGTATAATTATAATTGCAAGAGTAATAATAATAGTAATAATAATAATAATAATCATAATAATAATNTAATAATAATAATTTTAAAAAAACGTTTCGAATTAGTACTCGACATGTCCACTAATTTTGACTATTTTACATTATGAGTATAGCACGAGAGAAACGAGTTGTGGGATCAAGAAGTGGACACCTTGAAAATAAGCAAAAATTTATCCACTTGAAAAAAAAAAAACGATAAAAAATGGCTATCACTGTTAACAGCTTGGTTTTAATTAAATGAAATCAACGATTTTACAAAATTATCAGCGTACGTGCACGTTTCAAAAGCTTTATTTTCAATAATAACCTCAGGATTAAAAAAAAAAAGATGCGAAAAATAATACAGCAATAGCAGATTAAATACAATATTTCCTGAAGATCATAAACAGTGTGTATGGAAGTTATTATTAAACATCAAGCATTAATAAATGAAAAACATCAAATTTTTTTGTTCTTTGATATCACCGAACTTGCACACCCGATTACAATATACAGTTCTAGTTTTAATGGAGGCTCATAATATCAAATAATATATGATAAGAAACACGCAAAAAAATTTCAAAAACACAAATGTTTGACTTACGTTTTTACTATTGTTTAACTAAATAAAACACCATTGTCATCATGAATGAATAATAAGTTGTATTTGTTAAACCTCACTTTGTGCGTATTATATATATATGTATATATTAATATCTGTTGGTTATTAAATATCGGTGGATTAATTGTTACGAAATTCGTCCGTGTAGAGTTTTACCGTGTAAAGTAACATTTGTGTAGGGAATCATTGCGTAGAAAATTAGGGCTTTTCAACTGATGTGCAGAGTATTATTTGTGCTGAGAATTATTGTGCAGAGAATTCTCGAGTGTGGAAAATATTGGTGGAGAATATTTTTGTGCTTAAAATTACTACGCACATAAATTTTGTGTACAAAATAAATAAGCGAAAGTGTGTTTAATTTATCTGTGTGTGGAGTATTTATGTGCAAAAAGTACTGTGGAGAATGTTGTAGTGGACAATTTTTTTGCGTTCAATAATTTTTGTGTTTGACAATATTGCGTAGAATTTTTTTGTACATGAAATTTCGGCCGTGTACAGTTGAAACGTGTAGAATACATTTAGGCTAAAATTGGAACGATTTACATTCTGTTATAGTGGCTGAGTATTATTTTTCCGCCCTCACATTGCTATACCAATGTCCAGCTTTTATTTCAGTAAAATAGACTTTTACTGTAGTAACATTGTCCATCTCAAATAATCAAATCGGCATTAGATGTTGTAATATCTCATGTATACCTACTAACGCACTTTTTGTTTCTCACTCAACTGCGCTGCTAAAGAGTCAGTTGGAGCTTTATAATCGTGATTTTAGTAGTTGAAGTGGTGCAATGCTTTTTAAAAAGTGCGTTTACATTAATACAGGTCCAATGAAAATTAAGAAAAAAAAAATTTTAATTATATTGGAAAATAATTGTAAATACTGTATTACGAAATGTTCATTTACATATAATTACATGAAAGTGATACATTTTTCGTGAAATGACCCATGTACATTTGATTATATACGCTTGTGTTTGGAGTTGTGTTTGCAAGTGTATATTTAGGCGCTGTGCATTGCAGATCTCCGTTTTTTGTCTTTGTTTAGGTACCTGCTTACATGTCGGCTCATTACCGAGCACTTGGTAACCTTTAATGCTCTCCATTCCGGGCTATGAAGGTCAAAAAAAAAAAAAAAAAAAAAAAAGGTATAATTAAATAATCAAAATAACGTTGTTAAAAATTAGTTTTGGATAAGTACTGAAGCGCAGATCGACTTTCACGTGTTTTTTCCATACTCGCTTGACTGATAAGTAGGGTATACGTACACGTACAAGTGGATAAAAAAAAAAACTCGAATTAAATGCGCCTGCACGCGATTGTCCGATAAATGGAATCACTCAGTGTAACGGGGCATTAATTGTATTTTTGACAATTAACACATCGGTCATTGAGTAAATTTTAATACCTCCAGATCGAGTGCCTCGAGAGGTGGTGGGGTATGCTTAACACACGCACGTAAATAAATAAAAAAATATCGCGTTCGCGATACTATGTGCTTACCCGCGGCTACAAAAATATACACATGCGTATCAGATAGGGAATCTCATTGCAGTGTGGTTTATGCAGTTGTTTTAACCGATTGGATATTTATTATTTACTCGTATACGGAAAAAAAAAAAAAAACATTACAAAACGACACATCCCCTTGACTTCTGGAATGAAATCCACGAAGACTCCTGCAGTGATGTACACACGCTGCAGGCACACAATGGCCTTTGGTTACGATAAAAATCAAGCATAATTACTTTGACAGGATACATGATATAAATGCTCATCGCGCGTTGAATGTATAGGTATATATTATGTACAATTATTGCAAGTTCTCTCTGCTTACAACTTCGCGCTCAGAAATGTCAAACTACTAGCGTCACTGCTATGCTTACATATATCGTTACCATTATTATAATCACACGACCAAAGCTTGGGCGTCGCGAAAAATTAAATGTCGCCAAACTATATTACTTACTTGGCAAATGTATCCTACGGGTTACAAGTGTCACTCGTTGCTGCACGACCCGTGCATCAGATATTTATACAATAGGTGGTCACACCAGAGTAGCTGTGCAGACCTCAAAGTATACAACCAAGCTGTCATTACACGCACGAGCCCAGCTAACGTTTATTGACCGATACTCGCGTGTAATGCATCCGCACACAAGTGGTATATTATTTTTAGTAGATGATGCGGTACGTATGATAAAATAAGTACAACCGACTGTCCTCAACTGAAACTGATGTCTGACGTCGACTGTAGCGCATCTCGCTCGGTTTACACCAACTACGTGTGTGTATATGGTGTAGCTGTATATGGCGTACAACAATCATATAGCCGCGATGTCGCTTATCTTGTGAATAAATATAAATCACCCGAGTACGTGCTCCGCGTTTTCAGAGTGCGTGGGTCCACACGGGGACAGCTGACGAGAGGTCGAATGTCAACGGAGCAGAGCCTTACTTTTTTATTCTCTCTCGTTCTCTCCTATACAAGCAGAAAAAAAAAAAGAAAAAAAAAAAATATCATGTGGGGTGTATAAGTAGCGCAAGCGTCGGCTCTGCAGCGAGCTGTGCTGTTCATCGGACGCTAAGGCCGATATTTTCCGATCCGAGCGATGAAGATTTTGTCGCGGCATATTTTTAGTTTTTTTTTTTTAGATTTCTCGAGCCATGTAGCAAAAATTTTACACCTCGTGACAACGTGACATATGTAGCCTGAAAAAGAAAGAAAAAAAAAAAATTTTTGTTCCGCTGGATGAGACCGAATTTGAAAAGTTGACAGTTTATCCTTCGTTTTTTTAAACAGAACAGCAGAAAAAAAACAATCCACAATTATAAAATATAATTTATATTTTACGTACATGGGACATTTCATAGGAAATGCGATATTTCCTAGATGCATTTTTGAGATCATTTTTGTGTGGCCGTACGCTTGAAAAATCAGGCCAAAAGGGCATTACCGTGATGCGAAGCATTTAAAAATTTCTTAATTTTTTTTATGATGTAGTGTCTAAAAATTTGAGGTGTTGAGCACCTTGTCTGATAGTTTAGAAAGGAAAAAAAAAAAATTTTATTTTCAAACACGGGACGTTTTATTTTTTAAATTTTCATGTGGTTAATTGTAGTATCGTCGCGGGTACATAGCGTTTTTCCCGGTAAAATAAGCGATTATTACCGTAACGCTCTTTTTAAATTGAAAAAAAAAAAAAAAATGCATTTAAATTAACATAGGTTTTTAATAAATGATCGTAGAGTCGGGCCTAAAAGTTTCCAACTAGTTTGGACATTACATAACTTGGAAAAAATAATTGAAAAATTCTAAACTTTTAATTCAAAAAAACCCCAACTAGGGCATAAAAATATCGCAGTTTTTGTAAAATGACCCATACATGGTTAATTAGCGAAGTATTGACTCACCTGCTTGCAAAGTTGCGTCGTCCGACGATGCATAAACACACCGCTGTCTTAATATAAACTAACAATAAAAATGTAAGTTGCCAATCGCTTAATTTATTGGCGGTATTATTACCAACTTTCAGCGTCGATTAATCAACTGCTTGTGTGTTATTAATACGGCGTTGTCATCTTAAAATGGTACGTGTGTGTATTGCGTGCGCGAAACAGTTGATTTTCGCACGAGTACGGAATTGGCTGTCAAATTGAATTGCGAAGGTAAACATTACACGCGAATCTCATAACAAACGAATGACAAATTCTTCAGGTTTCGTTGCATTTGTAATATTTATGTCAATTCATCATTTCATCCCTTTATAAAGTCTATATTGATCAACACAAGTGACAGGAATATATGTACTTGATGTGATGTTTAGTGAAAGAAAAAGAAAAAAATGCACCATTTCACGGGAATTTCAATCAATTTCATGGTAAACAGCGTGATACGCCGCAAACTTTTTTCTTCAATGTGGGTTATTGCAAAAGTACAAATGACTTATTGGTAATACTTCGAAAAAATCAGTACAATCTACATACTTACAAATCGTGTAACTTGATTGTATTGGATGTACGGATCGCATTTCTGTCAACAATATGGATGTAGATGTACTCTGTTTTACTAGCAGTGTCGTATTAAATATTGCTTTACGTATAGCGATTGATAAATTTAATTTACAATGTTCGCTGTACAATATACGTTACTCGCTTTGGCAAATATGTAACTCATACTACTATTTTTTTTTTTGTTAATTTACTGTGTTGATTTTTTTGCTGTGTAGTCAACATTACACTATTGCAAGTACATACACGCTACGTCCAACAATTTTTTGTAGGTCATATTATTACATGTTTTTAATACGACAATTTTACATTTACAACAGTTTATGTTTTTTACACCGCACGACATGAAATTGAATTCGGACTATCCGTTAAAAGCCGCAATATTTCGAGCTTTCACGTGCGCACTCGAATTATCCGTTAGAAAACCTTCTGTGCTTCTTGTAACGCGTTTTTCTAACATACATCAGAGACTTTTATGTAATGCATCACATCAAACGATTAAAAGCTAATCCCCGTAAAGGTCATTACCTCACGATGTATCAGATTAATCAAACTTCAATTCAAGTTTTTGAATATTATTTATGTGCTCCCCGATGGTTTATTTTTTATTATCATCGATACATACACTTATATTTTTGCATTGAATAATTGACATCGATTTTTCAGATACAAGCGAGGAGTCATCGCTTATAAAACAGATCATGTTTGATTATTTAAAAAATTTTAATAATTAAGTTGTCCCTTTTTTTGTATTTTATCTAGGCAGACCCCTCTGTGAGAGAGACAGTATAAGTATACATGCAGGGTTACATGGAGGGGAGGGGGGATCGAACGAACTGTCTGCTCGTAAGCAGACTCCTGGATGAAAAATGGCGGCCACCTCAAGCGTGGAATGTGTAGACTTTTTGGAGTTTCAGGTACTAATAAAATAAAACTACGCTATCATAACTGTATAATTTATCAACTTGAAAACATTGTTTTTCAAACATCTATCGGACGTAATGCACCTCATGTTACGTAATGTAAATTCACAGCTCGTTTAAAGGGCTGGCATAACCTTTCAAAATTGTACTATTGTCGGTGTCGGGTATTTGCAAAATTATGGCATTCGTCGGTTTGTCTTTTAATTTTCAAAAACAGTGCGGTCACGGTAATATTTCCACGTCGGTTCTCAAATCTTTGATGTCATTAAATATATATATTTTTCATAACATTGCAGGACACTTTGCAGAAGATGAGACAAATAGATGACAAGATCATTTATATGCTCAACACCACTCTGCCCACGGAATCGTTCAAGAGTCAAACTGATCCATCGGTGACGTGCAAAGATCTGTTTCAGCAAATTCAGTCGGGCCATGCTCAACGTGAAATAACCATTAAAAAGTGCTTGAACCTCGTTAGAGACAGAGTGAAGGATTTGAAAGGGAAAAGAGATGTTAATGGCAATGATCCCGATCTTTTGAAAACTTTGAGGAAAGAACAAAATAAACTACGTCTTCTTGAATCGGAATTGGGTGTTGAGGAAGTTATAAAACAAAGAACAAAAGAAGTTTACCACGAAAGGTGCCGTGGATATTACAAGCCCGAAAATAACCCATGAAATAAGACTGTGACTGAAGAGTTGTTTAATAACGTGTACAAGGATTATCTGCCAAGTTTACTCAGTGAAATATAGAAATATATCATAAAAGAATGAAACTAATACATCATCATCTGGTTTAAAAGTTTTAACTTTTTTTTTTTCAATGCTATAGCCTTTACTTTATTTTACATGGTTTGATTTTGAATTTTTTTTCAAAAGATAGTTACTACTATCTTTATTTTATATACCTCAAATGTCTCTTATATGGAATGTTTTGTAAATATGGTGTTGAAGGGTGTAGGAATAAACAAACTAGATTGAAAACTTTTCCTCCAAGGAAAGGTAATTTTGATGCTTGTAAATAGATTTGATTTATTAAAAAAACATTTAAAAGAAAGTCAACTTTACTTGTATTTACATAATTCCTTTTCATTTGCTTTTATGAGTATTATATGTTTACAATAATATCGAAATTCATAGGTGATATTGCTAAACCGACCAACTCACTGTTCTAAACAAACAGTTAAAATTTACTTGCTTGCAGTATTCTCTCTTTCTATTCTGGCTTCCTCTTTGATATTTTCATGCCAGTCTTCTCTTCTTTTCTGGATTGAATCACCTTTTTTTACCAAACCTTTGGCATAGAAAACTGTCCCGAGACACATTAAAACTGTTGCAGCCATCATGTAGTTTGCTGCCTTGACTCTAGCTTTACTCTTTGCTTGATATATAGCGTCTTCGCTACATTTCAAAGAAATTATGATTATCATAGTGACACTTTTGACTGTACAGCTTGTTTATCAACATTTTTAAACTTTAAAAAAGGCAAAATACTTCAAATATGAAAAATATGGTTTGCTTTGATTTGTCCTCAAATACTTTATAATGTTACTGTGATTTTTTCCAAAATTAAAAAAAAATCGTAAGATAGAAAATGCACTTTGTTCATAAAACATCTCAGCATTAAAAAATATTTTAACGCAATAAGCAAACTTTTGGTAAAGTTAATTACATTTTTTCACAAAAAAAGTATGTGATATGAATGCAACTCACGAGATTAGTTCTGGAACTTGTCCTTTGGGATATCTTTTCACCCAAGTGAGTATCCACCTGTCAAAACCAGTGGTTTTGTACATTGACCTTCCTTTTTTTTAAACAGCACATTGTAAAACATTATTCAACAAATCAATATCCAGTTAATACTATTTATATTTACCAGGCATTGTCCCAGAGGCACCTGTTTGGACATTAGCTTTGGTAGCAGAGTCAGTAGCTTTTGACTCAANATAGTCAACAATGCTAAAGCCTTCTATAAGGTAATTAAGCTAAATTTGATGCACATCAACGTGAAATAATATTTATGGATGCAAATTATTGATTACTACTTGGGAGAATGTAAAACATTATTTTATCTTGCAGCGTACTTCTTCGGAATATAAAGATGCTATTGATTTTTGGGATCTTTGCAATAGCACGAAAAATAGGATAATGGAAGATTGGGAAGATGAACCTGTTAAAGGAAGAAGGTTGAACACAAGAAGAACTGTAATTCGTCAAGAAGATGCTGAAGATACTTCCGAAAGTTCTACTAATCCAGATGAAGATTCGCAAGCTTACGAAGACCTTTTTGCTGCAGTTATGTTAGCTACCGATCCTATGGATAGTACGAGAGCTCTTCACATACCATTTCTTCTCAAACCTTCAAAAAAAGTAAATTTTTTAAATAATATGCACTTATTTTCATTAACCTAGATTATTTTAAATTATATTAATTTCTCTCCCTACTTTTAGCTGTATCCAGAATATTATGAAGTCATTGACCAACCAATCGATCTCAAAACGATAGCAATTAAAATTCAAGAAAATGTATATAAATAATTATATATTATGTAGTAAATAAAATAAACTGTTCCCTTCTGAGATGGTACCTGCAGAGTTTGATATTACCGATTGAAGGTAAGTGACGATTTCTTCATAGTTTTCAGTCGGTAAGATAGAAAAGTTCTCGGCCTAAAAACAAATGCTGCAATCCGTGTTCCAGTAGCGCTCTCCGACAACTTACCGACAACTTAAACATGACGCAAGATATCGTAAGACATAATTAAGTTGTCAGTAAGTTGTCGGAGAGCGTTACTGGAACACACCCATGATGCACGATGCACAACAGAATGACGTCGAAAACGTCACAAATACAGTCTTCGTGACATCAAATTGGACTGCATGGCGTAAAAATCCAGTATGGCGGCTTTCGCAAGCCATGGTGCAGCGTGCAGCATGGCCGGGAAATCGCATCATCGTCAGTATGTGTACGCGCGTGTGTCATTGTTGTCGTCCCTTGCTGATGCCACGATTATATTGGACGGCCTTCGGGCTAAACGGAGCGTCATTGTCGGTTATCTCGTTGTCTTGGTCGTGGAGTGACGTGAACTATTATATCTAGTTTTTTTTACTTTAACTTCATACCACCACTACCATCAGCAGTCACATTATTGGAGGTAGTAGTACTACTGCAGGTGCAGGTGCAGCCTCACACAGCATCAAAGGGGATGGTGGTGCTATAAAAAACAGCCCGAGTTTTTTTTCTCACCAGCGTGTCCTCGATACGATACCCATAATACCTATATACTTACCCCGAAAAAGCATCGTGAAGGTGAGGAGTAGGAAATACCACACTGCACTCTCTGCAGTCTACACTCTACAGTCGAGACAGCAGCGGCGCTTGCATTGTTTATGTGTACGGCTCTAAGTAAAAGTATATGTAATATATAGAGGCACACACACACACACACACACCCGCCGACGCATGTCGTGCATGCTACTTTTATCTTTTATGTAGCTACTCGTTCTTGTTTACCTTCTCTCTTTTGCGTGGGGCGTAATTTATTTGTTAGTGTTATTGTTAAAGCTGTCATTCCAAATGTTTCTATACAACGATTTGCGATACATACCTACAACTTGCCGTGTGCTGCAGTTCGCGCGTGTGATTGAGACACGATTTCGCATTTCGTAAGCCTTATTCTTGTATAATTCAACTGCGGGAACCAAGTGGATTAAATAAATGTTGTGCTTCTGTGACACGATAATGTTTATTGTTTACGTGTGCCGCTGATGAAACGAGATCGGCGATGTTGAATATTTCATCGCTCGTCGATGTTGTACCTGGAAGTAACCACGTACGTACATAGTGTGCGCCAGTGTTTTCTTTCCCGTTGCAAAGGTAATAAAAAAATTGTTAACAAGGTACCGCACAACATCTCCAAGTACCCTATCTTCTGTTTTATTTTTAAGCCGCGGTTGACAAGTATCTCTTGACACTGGTGGAAGCCCGGCTAATTTGAATTTTCGCGGCTCTCGCCGCCTCTCTCTTTTATTTAATAACCTCAATATGTGGTTAGTTCTCTCCAAGCATTTTTCGGAGTCCTGTGTGCATATCAATTGAATAATTACTAATTACTTGTCACAACCGTAGAAATTTGTCCGGAAATCAAATCGCCCCTTCTGCGCTCGACCAGAAACAGGGAAAAAAAAGTTGTATCTAATACTTTTTTAGTTCTTAGCTATGGTTTAGCTTCGGGCACGAGAATGTTTGATTCTAGATGCGTATGTGTGGGAGGCCGAATTTGTTACCAATATTTAACTAATACAATATCCCATAAACATCAGAATTATAAATCCTCTAGCGATAGCGTGGGTGTTTTATGTAGATACATGCATATATGTGTTACGTATGCACGTATTGAATGTGTTATATGTTGTTGTTATATTCCCAAAGCATCACGCAACACACATGCATGATGCCTGCTTATTTACTGGAATAGATGATACATTTACCAAGTACTTATAAGTCGAAAAATAATGCAGCAGCACGATATACAAAAACCGATGATGTTTCTTATTGTCCATAAGAATTGTTGCTGATGCCGAAATCAGGACTGGAGTCATTGATGATACTTGTATAAGTATACATGCTTAGGTCTACAAAAAAGGAGTCGATATATATAAATATATATAGTGTGCACTGTATTATAGAAGAAAAAGGAAGAAGCGTGGATTGCGTGGAGAGAAAGAAAAAAAAATGTGGTGGTGGTGTGTGCGTGTGTGTGCACTACGCGAGCGTTACATACTATATATGTAGTACTAAACCTATCTCTGCTACTCTGCTGCTGGGGTTTTATGATGGCGGCTCGAAGGTAGATGCTCGCTGATGGCCCAGTCTTCTGGGACGTGTTGCTGTCGTTCGTCGTGAAGCGTTGCATATTTTTTACGGTGACTTGAAAGCCTTCGAGCGCTTCGTTACAGCTCCCGCGGCGAGTATCACAGTATCACCTTAACAAGTCAAATCCATAAGTTCACAATATATAACCAAAGGCGCGTACAATAATCTCTCTTTTGCCTCTATGCGTGCAAGAAAGCGGCTTCGTAGTGTGTATACTCCTCTCTGGCTGATACTTGTAATCTCTTCGACGACTTCGACTTCTTTTTTTATTGACCACCACCACCAATCCCCTTCCCTAACTTCACACATGCCTTCACGTTCACCCTCCGTGTGGGTGGTTTTTCGGCTCAATCACACTTGATTGGGATTGGTGGTTACATTTTCAAGTCACAAGTGTTTACTATTTGACTCTATTATCTGTCGCCTGTTTGTTTGTTCATTGTTGCTCTGTACAGCAGAGGTTTTTTGCAAATTTCAACTCGTGTAGCTTGGACATGTTAAATTTTCTCATTTGGCTCACTGTGTTTTGTGCATAGGTTCAGGAATAAGATGCATAAACGCCGGAGGACCTCGTCTGTGGCCAGTCGAGGTACAGAGGATGATCCGGACGACATAGCACCGGAACCCAGAGAAGCCAAAAGAAGGAAAAAACTCGATCCAGTAAGTCTGTCCCTAAAATATCGTCTTTCTCTTGAAAACTATGTGATAAGTTGCATTAGCGCATTTGCACTCATTTTCCGATTTTGCTTGGCTTTAGAGTAATTTCACATAGTTTTTATTTTACGAAATATTTTTAAACATCAATGGAGTTCTATCTTCTTC